GACGCTTACTTTAGCACCAAAATCATACATATTTTTCCGTAATTTTGGCAAAAGAACAAGTACTTTATTCACAAACCATTAGATGCAGTTGAATTTTCTCGACAAGAAAAAACATTTTTGCGTGATTTTCAACATAAATCATTTCGACAAAACATTATTCTATCTAATGTCGTGCATAAAGCAGTAAAACGAATCTCCAAGTCAAACATAAATCACTGTCACATCATCTGCGTATCATTAACATTGATGAATTAGATGTATTCGAGCGATTTTAAGTTTTTCAAACTGCTTCACGGTCAGTGATCAAATTCTGTCTATCACATGTTTTGTTTATCTCCGTACAAGACATACTGATGCGCTAAGTATTTTTAGATTTCAAAACCAAGGTAAAATACCGCAATAAGTATTTCGCATTTTATGAGTACCACCGAATATATAACGAGCAGAAGAACTTGTTCGGAGCGGCGAAAAATGTTGTCAGGATTTTATAAGGACTGCTCTTGAACTCATTATGACCGATTTCTCATTTTTAATCGTGAACTTAAAATTCGGAGGAAGAAGCATAGTATGAGAGAAAAATTTAAAAGCAAAGAGTTCAATGGACAAAGGGCTATTTCATTTTGTGAACAATCCAATTTTCTTGATTTTCTTGCAGCCCAATTCCCTTTCTTTGCTGACAACTCTGGATTAATCTTCGATCAGCAGCAACAAGCACAACAGCAACCTTTCATATTCCCCACTCAAACAGAAAGTCATCAAGAATGGATGCTTCCCGAGGTGAAAACTTGCAAACTAGTGCAAAAATTCAATTATCACATCCACTTTAGATCGAGACTACTCTAGCTCCTACAGAGCGTATTGAAGATGTCCCAAATCCCGACCTTGAAGAAGGCATTTTCCCTTTACCCGATCCCAAATCATGGCCTAAAGGACCGGACTGGAACGATCCGCGCAACAATTGGGAAGGTATCAATGGATGGACTAGTGACAAATCCTCATCGAATGGTTTAGATTCACAAAATTCATAAATATTCTTGTTTCATGTACAAAAATAAAATAATAAATGAATTCGCATACTTTCAATTGGTTAGCATCCTCTTTGCCCACAGGATGTCCTTGAGCATCTAAAGCGCGCGTGCCAAAACCTGTATTCATGTAACCAGCTGAGACGGTAAGTATGTGTAGATTAGGGCGTGATTCGCAACGAAGACAATCAAAAAACGCCTAAATATATATTTTTGAAAAGTGAATTAATATGAAGCAGGGAAGAAAGGTCAACTCACCTGGAAAGCGTGTTTGCTAGCTGCATAGGCACTTCTGTAAGGGATGGGTAGCTTTCCCTGCACACTGCTTGTCGCAATAATGCATCCATCATCAGGTATTGCGTCTAGCAACTTTTGAGTGACTACAACATGTCCAAAAAAGTTGACATCCATCAATTGCCTGTATTCACAAAGAAATGAAAAACCCATCTCGAGCAAAAAAGCAATAAGCGCTTACTTATAAATGTTGATAGGGGTATCGTGGATAGATCCTCGCATCGATAGACCAGCGTTATTGATCAGCACATGAATAGTTTTTCCGTCAATTGCTAGTTTTGTGAGAGCCTCCACATCCATCGGCTCGCAAACATCCAGGTAACTATAA